AACTACAAATTGAGTTGATGATAGGCAGTGCGTTGTTTCTTTATGAAGCGTGAATTTCCGAAAGAACAAAAAAAATTAATAAATTGAGTAAAGTATTTTCTCAAATTTAATTTGTATGTGCTTGCTGGGTAATCGTCCCAATGCACTTGCACGCCTGGTCTTCTGATGTGTACACAAACAAAATTGATGTATGCTTAATCACTTTATTACAATTGCGAATACAAATGCAAATAAAATTCACAAGTACTTATTTGATTTATATCCACTATTCACTTTCACTTTGCTCACTGGGCTATTTTCGAACTATTTCGATTTCACCACTATACTCTGGTTTGTTGGGATGGCCTGTCCTGCTTTGCCTTTGCTGCTGTGCCTTTGCTGCTGTGCCTTTGCTGTTCTCCCTTTGCTGTTTAGCCTGTGCTGCTTTGCCTGAGCTGATTTGCCTTTGCTGCTCTTCCTTTTGCTGCTCGGCCTGTGCTGCTTTGCATTTGCTGCTCTCCCTTTGCTGCTATGCCCGTGTTGCTTATCTTTGCTGTTCTTCTTTTTGCTGCTCGGCCTGTGCTGCTCGGCCTGTGCTGCTTTGCCTGTGCTGCTCTTTGACTTTCTGCTGTTTGGCTTTCTTGCCTGTCGCTCACTTCACTTTTCTTTGTATATTTTTGTTTTTTTTTTTTTGGTTTGCACTCGCGAAACTGCAGCTGCGTTATTGCTGCTTGCCTTTATTGCTATTCGAGCAATATATGGAAAGGCAGAGTTGAGCGACTAGACTCAAATTAACGATATGAAAACACAAAAACCGAGAGAGATTGTTGACGCTCCAGACGATTTTGTGCGTCCAAGAAATTTATTATGTTATTCGGATAACAGTGTGTTTTTTGTATATGCAAAGTGAAATGATCAGTGCATTTGTCAGGTGTATTTATTGTTGTACTTAAATGAAGTACAATACAACCTGCAGTCTTGTGCGTGGATTTTGTGGGTAGAGTGCCAAAAATAAGTTTTGGTCTCCACTTCACACAGCACAATAGGTTTTGTACATAAATGATGCACAAATTAACCAATCTATTGCCTTATAGCTTACAGAGCACAAATCCAAAATATGTTTGGCTGTAACTTGCGAGTTGCTGAATCGGGCAAATTATGCACTTTCACTTTAATTAAAATCAACTTGTTACCTGTTATCCGGCTCGAAGGACCAATGATAATTCGGGTGGTGGTGCACGGTGCTCGTTCGTTCCGTGGTTTTGGTTGGCCGTGGGGAAACGGTCGGCGCAAGTTATTCCACAAATATTAAATAGAAAAAAATATTAAATAAAAAAATAGATTCATATAATATGTATATTTACAAAATAACAAATTGGACAAACACTTACCACGTCTGGATCGGTGAGCGGTCGCAAAAGAAGAGAGCGCGCGCAACTTCTTTTAGTTAGAGTTTAGTTGCGCGCGAATTAAACTTCGAAAAGGAAGAAAGAAAAGATTGTTCTGCCGATACAGACGTGGCAAAGAAAATTGGGCGGGGGCGGCGGCAACACAACAAATCACTACTTAGTCCTGTCATACATTAATTATATTTAATAATAAATCAATTTTATAACTAAAAATATATGTACAACTCCAAAATATAACACGTTGTCAAAAGTGTATTTTGCAAAGGGAGATTCCTTTGAGAGGAACGACATAGATTTTGAAGAATATATTAAAAAATTTAAAATTATGAATAAAGTCTTATTATTTTTTGCTCATAGTAATACTATTTTAATGAACACAGATATATGAGATTTGCCTGTAGCTCTAATGGCAGTCCAGTAGCGATGGTGATTGCATAGAAAATCATTATAAGCGTAAAATAGAAATCTCGTTAAAATTCATATCAAATATTATTTTATCAAGTGCTAGTGACCCGGTACGTGCTTCATTACATATGAAGTGAAAAAATAAAAAATAAATGTTTCAATGTTTTATTCATTTATTCACACCAAAAATATATTTAATTCATTGCCAGCTAATTTAAGACTTAATTGTAATCGTTTGAATTGATCATATCAGTTGGAATCATAGAGTTACGCGGAATCAAAAAACGTCTACCCTTGATTTAGCAGTTAAGATCGTAGCTTCAATCAAATTTGGCAACAACTTTTTCAATGCCAACTGCAACAGGTTGAAAGAGTTTAATAATTTTAGTAGCACCATAAGATGTCATTTGGTATGTCGAATTGTATTGTTAAACATAACTTAAAAAAGCTTCGACGTTTGAGATATCCCAAAAATTAATGAATACAATGGTTCGTGATCATTTCAGCCAAAGTAGCACGACATATTCGTGATCGACGTGCAAGATGCAGTACAGGGTCAAGCAGTCTGTTATCGTCTTATTAATGGCACATCATTTGCATTCGCCGACCTATATTTGTTCGTCTGGCTCGTGACATCTTTCCTTCATATAAATAAGAATAACTCATTATATGTACATATGTATTTCACTTTAACTGTTCAAGACTTACCTTTGCTTGAAAATTAAATAAAGCCGGTTGAGGATATAAAGCACCGACGACTCTCTAAAAAACTGAAAAAAGTACACTCATGCATATACATAGTATACCTTTGAACAATTTAAGACTCACCGTTTGTATAAATGCACTCAACAATATGTTAAAAATTATAAACACAAAGCAAGAATTATCGCTGACAATTTGCTTTAATCGAAGCACGTCCGAAATGAAATGACCACAACATAATATTTGACATCTCCATATTTGAAACAAAAATCACCATTAACATTTATTGAATTTATTTGTTACAAAAAAGGGATTCATGAAGAACTGCTCAGCCGATTTTGTGTAAACTTCACATAAATCATCTACTAAACAGTCCGAACAAAGTCTAAAGGTTTGTTGTGGATAGGTGAGTCCGTTCTTAAGTTATAAAATTACAACCAAAGGTGGCATTACTTTTTATATACATATATAGATATAATAAAATTAACTGTATGTAATTGAAATTGTAAATATTTTCAGTACCTAGTACTGTTACTTTTTCA